TTTTATTTATTTATTTGAGACAGAGAGCATGAGAGGGAGGAGGGTCAGAGGGAGAAGCAGACTCCCTGCCGAGCAGGGAGCCCGAGGTGGGACTCGATCCAGGGACTCCGGGATCATGACCTGAGCCGAAGGCAGTCGCCCAACCGACTGAGCCACCCAGGCGCCCTTATCATTTTTTTTTTAAGATTTTTATTTGGAAGTGATCTCAACACCCAACGTGGGGCTCAAACTCACAACCCCAAGATCAAGAGTCACATGTTCTGCCAACTGAGCCAGCCAGGTGCCCTATTTTTTTTTTTAAGATTTATTTCTTTGAGGGGGAGGCAGAGGGAGGGGCAAAGGGAGAGGAAGAGAATCTCAAGCAGACTCCTGGCTCAGCGGGGAGCCCAACTCAGGGCTCAATCTCACGACCCTCATCATGACCTGACCCGAAACCAACAGTCGGGTGCTTAACCGACTGAGCCACCCAGGTGCCCCCCATTTTTTCAATTTAAACAGTGTGAATTATGCCATTGACTGCATGTCCTAATTTAATAGGTAACTTTTCTTTTTTAGTGACGCATAACATAATGGTGCTTCTTACAACCACTGCCATCTTCGAGTCAATGAAATGTGGTAGTTGTGATCATCAGCAATGCTTGCCTAATGGGGTGCCTTTAGAACCTAGCTCGCAAGAACCAACTCCATGGTATGATCTTTCTATACTAAAAAATAAAGCCATCTCACCCTACTGGGGAAAAAACAACCTCCCCCCCAACCTGCCGCCATGGAAAATCCTGTAGCAGTGAGGGGCTCGAAGCTGGGCTGTCTGCTCTGGCTAATCCCGGTCAGGCTGCCCCGCCCCCGCCCCGTCCCATACACACCTGGGCTCCTTCTGCAATGGCCTCTCCTGTCCACCCGTGGGCAGGCACGAAGCCCAGTGCTGCCGTCAGGATGCGGTGCTGCAGCTGCTCCTCACTCTCATGGTCCTCCTCCTCCTCACCACCCTGATCTGTGTACCTGAGACCCACACGGAACAGAGACGCGGTGACGGAGCCCAGCACACCTCTCACTGCTGCTGCCTGACAGGCCAAAGGTGCCTGACCAGAACCCAGAGGCTCGGTGCCTCCGGCCAGCACACTCTGGGAAGGCATTTACTTTTGTGCCAGTATCGCTATTTCCACGCCGACGGGGCAAAAATGATGTCATCTTTCTCCTCTCATACAGTCACTGAGAGAAGGGATCCAGTGAGCGAGGAGGCCATGACAGGGGAAGGCAAATGCTCCCACAGCACTCTGGATCTCTCCGTTTATAGCCCTTAGCACACTGTTCCTTTATCTGTATTTGTACCAAATGATAACTCCAGGGCCTGGCACAAAGTAGATCCTAAAAACGTATTTGCTGAATTGAAAAGTATTTTAATCAGGACACCAGAAAAATGACAGGAACACCCTAATTTCAGAGCTAGAGGAACTTCTCAGTGGCAGGGTTAAGAAAAAAAAAACATATAATGGAAATGTAAACTATTATCCCCTTCTTAGACAGCAATTTGGCCCCACATACGTAACAAAATGCTAAATGTGCACATCCTTTGATTCAGTGCTCTCAATGCTGAGAGATAATCCCATTATTTTTTTTTTAACCAGTGAAGGAAATCTAAATATTCATCAATAAAAGATAGGTTAAATAAATTTTAATACTGACAAATTTTAGGGGCACCTGGGTGGCTCAGTCGTTAAGCAGCTGCCTTCAGCTCAGGTCATGATCCCAGGGTCCTGGGATTGAGCCCCACATCGGGCTCCCTGCTCCGCGGGAAGCCTGCTTCTCCCTCTCCCACTCCCCCTGCTTGTGTTCCTGCTCTCGCTATCTCTCTCTGTCAAATAAATAAAATTAAAAAAAAAAAAATACTGCCAAATTTTAATACTGCCATTCTGCTGGGATATTATGCCAACCATTACAATCATACAGACTGTGAAAACATTAAAAATGTATTGTTGAGTGAAAAAGTAGGTTCTGGAATGTCATGTATAGTATAATTATTATATATACATTTATACATGGAATATACTTAGAAAAACATCTAAAAGGATAGTCACAAAATGTTGCAGTTATTTCTGGGTTTGTGATTCCTGGTCATTTTTGTTTTATTTTTCTGAACTTCTTTGTATTGTTTAGATATTTTAGAATGAACAGGCACAATTTTCAAAAAAACCCATAGATTCGTTTCACGGATAGCCTTGAAAATGACAGAAGGTGAAAAGGGGGATAAAAAGAAGAGAGGAAGGAGAGATAGGACAGACATACCCAAGCATGCAAAATGGCCCGAAACAGATGAATGGGAGTTCTGGGGCATACCTGGGGGGTGAACGAGAAGATTCTGGATTGGGTTCTTCTGCCTCATGTGTCTCAGAATGTTGCTGAGAAAAAGATGGGGGACATTGTTGCTTCTGCTCATCTGAAGACTTTAGCTGCATGGCTGAAGCATGGAAGGCACGTGACACCACAGCTGATTGGCAACGGGACACTGAAACAAAAACTGGTCTGGTCAGTCAGGGACACTTACCAGAGAAGACTCTTTGAAACCCAGAATGGTGTGAGGGATGGGGGTAGGAAAAGCAGGGCTGAGTCTCCTCCAGAGCCACTTATCCAACTGTTGAGTCCCAGACAAAAATTTGGGGTAAGTTGGCAACCTTGTGATATGATGTGGTGGCAAAAGCATGAGCCAGGTAACAGAAGACCTGGTTTCTAGGCCTGCTGCTTTCGTTTGTTAACTGTGTTAATGGACAAACCACTTCACCGCAATGAGCATGATTTTTAAATATGCAAATTAAGAGTAACAATCTGTTTGCTCAATGGGAGTGTTGTGAAGCCCAATCAAAAAGTGAAAGTGACCTGAAAATGTTACATATTTATATCATAGCAAGAGCACTGGACTAGAAATTAGAAGGTCCAAGTACTGACTCCCATAGTGTTTATATGTAGTGTCTTCAGATGGATCACGCAGGGCTCGAACTCACGACCCTGAGATCAAGACCTGGGCTGAGGGCACCTGGGTGGCTCAGTTGGTTAAGTGTCTGCCTTCGGCTCAGGTCATGATCCCAGGGTCCTGGGACTGAGTGCCACATTGGACTCTCTGCTCAGCGGGGAGTCTGCTTCTCCCTCTCACTCTCCCTCTGTGTTCTCCCTCTCTCTTTCTAAAATAAATAAATAAAACCTTAAGAAAAAAAAAAAAAGACCTGAGCTGAGATCGAGTTGGATGCTTAACCGACTGAGCCACCCAGGTGCCCGTTATAAAAAAAGTCATACAAGTTGAAAGAACTATGGCATGAACACCAGTTTATCTACCACCTAGGTTCTACAGATCTATCACACTCTTCATTCATCAGTCCAGCTTATTTTTTTTTAATCCAGCTTATTTTTGATGCATTTGTTGCAGTCCTCAGTATTCTTCCCCTCTATACATTCTGGCATGTATACCATTAACTAGAGTTCAATATTTATTTACTGTTCTTTCATTGAGGTGACAGTTATATACAATGAAATGCACAAATCTTAACTGTGCCAATTCTGAGATTTGATAAAGGTATACACTTGCATAATCTGAACTTCTATCTAGAGAATATTATCACACCACAAAGTTCCCTCATGCTCTTTCCCAATCACTCCCTACTTACACTGCTCTGAAATTTTCACCCTAGTTTAACCTGTCCTAGAATTTCATCTAATTAGAATCATACACTATATCCTTTTTGTGTAAAACTTTTTTTGCACAGTCTTTTTTAGACGGATTAGTTTTGTGGAAATTGTCTTTTATTGCTGAGTAATATTCCATTAAGAAACACTACTCTGTTGAACACCTGGGTTGTTTCAGCCTTGTCTATCATGAATAAAGTTGCTATAAATATACTTCTGCAGAACTTTTGGTGGACATATGCTTTCATTTCTCTTGGGTAAATACCTACGTGGCTTTGCTGGGTCATAGGCATTACTTTAACTAAACATATGTAGTTTGGAGTTTTGTATAAAAACAACAAAAGGACACTCTTTTTTTTTAATCTATGGACTAACTCAGGGAACAATGATCTTAAAAGAAATGCAAAACAGTATGTGTAAAAATATCAATATTTTACTATTTGTAAAAAAAAAAAGGAATACTCATAAAACTTTGAAAAGGAGGGAGAGGTCCCAAAGCACAACTGTGGAACCACTAAGGATTGCAAAAGATTTCTGATGAAATACAGGAAATTATTTCATTAATTATATATTTATGTTAATGCGTCAATGTGTTCCTTCTATTTATGGATGGTGACACTGGTTTTTCCATTTACAGTAGCAACATAAAGTAACCTCTTCTAAAGTAGACATCTATAGTTTTAAGAACTCGGATGTACAAACGAAGATACAGACTCTGTGTGGGAATAATCAAAGAATTACTGAAGTGGTGAGGGAATAACCGATTTAGGAAACAATGGACTAGGAGCTCTCTGCAGCTGTTTCCAACTCCGTCCCCCGAGCGGCCCTGCCCAGGGACTTGGCAACAGAGTTATTAAAAGACTGGGTCCGGGTCTACCAGTCTGCAACTGCCCAGCTGTGTGACCTTGGGCACACACAGCCCTCTCTGAGGCCTTGTTAACTTCGCTAAATGGGAGTGACAGGCCCTGCTCCGCTACTCTTTGCCCCTCGCAGCTCGCGAATGGGGGCGGAATCAGCCGGGCGGCCCCTTCGAGTCCATGACGCCGGCGGCTCCGCGCCGATGCCCTTCACATCACCTTGCTCGCGGGCCGCCACGACGACCGGAATCTTCCGCCCCGCACCCAGCCCAGTCGGCTTCGTGCCCCCTCCCTCCCCCTCCCCGCTCCCCGGCTCGGCTGCCCCCTCACCGGGCAGGCACCGTAGGTGCAGAAGCCTCCAGCCCGCCCGACCGAGCGCGCCGGACATCGCCGCTGCCGCCATCTTGGAAGCGGGCACGCCTACGACTGTGACGCGACGGGCGGGGCTCGGCAAGGCCACTTCCGCCCTGCCGCGCTCCCGCAGCCTCCTCTTCTCGCGAGAGGCGCGAGGTGCGAAGCCGGCGGCACCGGAGAAGCCGGGAGCGAGCCCCGGGAGGCAGGTGAGCGTTGTGTGCGTGCGGCCCAGGAGCCCGATCTCCCCAACCGTCCCACCCTTGTCCCTAGAGCCTCTTGTTTTCTATTCCCAGTCTTGTCCCGCGGTGGGCACCGAACCGTGACCACCTCTCTGGGGAGCACGGCGGGCTTTTGCCTGGGGAAGCCGGTGTAGGGGACCGGCCGGCCCTGCGTGTCCAGGGCTCCTGGCGCTGTGGCTTCTTGCGCTTCCCGGGCTGCTTCGTCTCCCACGCTGCCGGAATAGATCTGAAGCCCCGGAGACGGTTCGCTGAGGGGGTAGAGAGCCTTGATGACCGGGGTCTAAGATCCGCTTCTGCTAATAGCCAGCCGTTGTGACCTTGGGCCTCAACGAGGCCCTTGAGTTTATTGAGTCCCTTGTCTCAAACACTGGGGGAGCTGAAGTCTCGGTCTTTGGGGGTACCTGAACCCCCCCCAGATTGTAATTTTGAGCCAGTGACTTGCCAGAACCTCCAAAGTGTGGAGTTGGTGGTGTTAAATAACAAACATTTAACCGCGTAACTTTTAAAGATCTAGGTGGCTTTATTGAACTATTCATGAATTGGGCAGCATCCCATCTAAGTAGAGAGGAGGTCCAAAGAGCTACAGTGAAAAGGGTTTTTTTAAAAAGCAGAGGAGGTGAGACAGGGAAGTCATAAGGGGAGAAAAGGATTATTTCAGGCAAGGTCACCTTCCTTTGGGGGACAGATGGGGTCTATTAGGCAGTTTACCTTACTAATGCTGACCAGAAAAGTCCAGACTGACCCCATAAGATTAAATTCCTGGAGAAGGTTGAAAGTGCAGTGAGGTTAGGTATTAGTTTCTGTTTGGTGATGAAGTGGGCTTAACACAAGTGACTCCATTTTGGGCCTGTTTGCTTCTTTTAATAGTTTAATTGAAAATTTCCCGAACTTGCCAGATCAAAAGAACCATCTAGGATTTGTAGGTGATTTGTAGGATCTGAAGTTTGAGAAAGGCTGGTGTTCATTCTGACATTGAGTGCTAATCTCTGAGTGACTCAGGGAGGTCATGGACTAGGCACTAAACTGAAGTGTAAAGGCAGAGTGCCTCATTGTGATATCTGTCATCAGGGAAGACTTCATATTAATAGGGAGAACTAAGTGATTTTGGGATTAGGGATAACTGATGGCAGGAGCTAAGCATGTCATTCCGTAAATTTTGTGTTTGCAGTTAGACCCTTGTCTTTGTATCTGTTTTGCACAACCCTTATCAACTCTATAGCCTTTTCAAAACATCTTGCCCTCTCCTACCTCTGTGTGGGGGAAGCCCTCCTAAGCCAAAACTACTCCCCAAATGTTAAAATTCCAGATCCACATCTCTGGATTTCATTAAAACACTACTGATCTGTCCATGAGGTTTTGTTTTCTGAGTTCTGTCCACCCATCTTCAAATGAGCCTTTCGTGTGGAAATTCTAGGTCTAGGGTATCCTTCCTGAAACTCCCAATTCTTGACACACACACCTAATTGCCTGGAGACAGTCTTCCATTTCTTTACCTTTGAGTTTCTTGTTTCCTTGTTGACTATCACCTTTTTTCCTATGTGTGCGTGTGTGCTTGCTTCAGTCAGTTCATTACATTTAAAATTTCCCTTTCTGATAAGGGTCAGGATTCTCAGAATTTTTTTATGTACCTGACTCAAAAAGATTTGATCCTTGGTTTGAACTGATAACCAAACTTCAGTCTTTTTTTTTTTTTTTAGTTTTGGCCCCCTTCATCCTTAAGAGGAGCCAGATGCCTCAAGATTTGATGTTTATTGGGTACCTTTGAAATAAACAAGTGCATCTCCAGAAGATATTTGCAGACCTCTGCTTTCCCATGGGCGCGTGTGTACAGCAGTGAGTGCCAGCGAGGTGGTTGACAAACAAGGTCCATGACGTGACAATGACTTCTTCAACCCCACCTCTTTTTAGATATGAAACTAGGCTCTGAGTCACACTTCTGAGTATGTCAGTTCAGGCGCCAGACATTTTTTTCCTTCTAGTTTTTTAAAAAGACAGATTGCCAACAACATAAAACTCTGACGATGAACAGTATCATCCTTTGGCTTTTAGATACCTAGAAGAATGTCGTCTCCCGTTTTATTTGGAAAATGCTGACCGAGAGTGGTGGCTTGTGTCTGTGTTTTGAGGGTTAATGTTTAATAAGTGCATTTTATGAGTTCCCTCTTGCCGGAGAAGATTAGTTTGGGGGGGATATGGAACACAAGTCATTTTACATTCTTTGAATGTACTGACACGGTCCCACGGGAGCAGTGTCTACGATGTCATAAAGTGCAGCTGTTGTACTGTGTAATTCTAACAATGAAAAGGAAGCTTCACATCTCTCCCTAGGGAGTCCTCAGTAGGCATGGCTGAGGAGAAAGAATATGTTTTATAGGGACTCTTTGAAGCAAAGGCAAATAAACTGGCCACCAAGAACTAAGAGTTCCCTTAGAACATTATTTCGTTGAGCACCGTGTGCCAGGCCCTGCTGAGTGCTTTGCATATTTTTATCTCCTCATTTACTTTTTTTTTAATAAAGATTTTATTCATTTATTTGAGAGAGAGAATGAGATAGAGCATGAGAGTGGGGAGGGTCAGAGGGAGAAGCAGACTCCCTGCCGAGCAGGGAGCCTGATGTGGGACTCGATCCCGGGACTCCAGGATCATGACCTGAGC